GCTGGAGGGGATAGAGAAGAGACTGAACACAGCATTAACTGGCCCGCATAGTTGTCCACATGCATTTTGACAGAGGCCTCGGCGGCACTGAGGTAGAATTTGAAGGGGCATTACACCAATGGACCCACATAAGGAAGAAAAGTGAAAAAAGTGGATGACCTTGCAGTGGTGTACAGGATGCAAGACCCCTATTCTGTACTTTGACCTGTGGACGTCTTGTTCTGCCTTGTGTCCTTTCCAACCCTCTCCCTTTTGCCCGTCCCGATTGCCCACCTACATTCTGGCCGCATTCTTTCTCCTTCTCACTCTTCTGCCTTCCATCCCACTGCCATCTGTCAGAGAGAATCCAAAATGAGGGAAGTCAAACCACCAGTTCTTTTTTCTTTTCTTTTTTCAGAACAAAGTGATCAGTTACATTGCAAAGGGGGCCGGAGGCCAGGAACCCGTCCACGAACAACCCGGAAAATACGGGGACCATTACCCAGCTTAGGTGCAGCCGTTGGGATAGAGTTGAGCAACAGAAATGGACAACGAGTCGAGCAGCAGAAATGGACAAAACCGGGTTGCTGTACTGACATTCCACAACCCTGGGAAAGAAATCCAACATGGCCTCAAAGCCGCACAAAGCAACAAACCACCAGTTCAGACGAACCCAAGTAGTGCTCTTACTAGTATACGCAGTAAGAGCATTTTGATTCGGGCCTGAGCCGGTAGCAAAAGCCACTGGCCACTTTGAAAAGGCGCAGTTTCAGGCTTGCAAGCCTTTGGAAGGTTAGCTTCGTTGACGACTCCATCCTGCTGCCATCTGTCAGAGAGAATCCGAAAGTGAGGGAAGTTAGACCACCAGTTCACACAAACCCAAGTGGTGTGCTTCCCGTTATACGCGGTAAGTGCATTTCGATTGCTGCCGGCCACTATGCAAAGACGCAGATGCAGGCTTGCGAGCCTCGGAAGGTTGCTTCGTCAACTCAAGCTCATGTGAACTGGCGGTTTAAGAACAAAGAACAGGTTCCCAGCCTTTTTTCGTTCTCGCTTATGTTCTTAGTTCTCCTCCTCTCTGCATCCTCTTTTCCCAGATAGAGAGCACATTACCACAGAGACACCCTCTCTCTCTCTCTCTCTCTCTCTCTCTCTCTCTCTCTCTCTCTCTCTCTCTCTCTCTCTCTCTCTCTCTCTGTTTATCTAACTTTATAATATTACATACAGATATATTACATATGTGATACATATCCATGATTCCATATGTATATAAATATTTGTCTATACATCGTCAAACAGAGCTGCCCGGTAAACTGTAGGCAGAGACTGCCAGAGAGGGAGAGGACAACAACAATTGAGTTGTCTATATGTATTCATAACTTCATATATATACTATTCTATAGTCACAGAGAGCTGCCTAGTGAAATGGAGGCAGAAAGGCAGAAAAGGACAAGAAACAGGGGGCTGTGACCGGCTGTTTGCTGGACTGACGAGTCTATCAAACTCCTGCTTTGGTTTCCGTCACAGGTATCCCTGAGGGCAGTGGTTGGTGGGGCAGTCGTTGACGCTCAAGGTGGATTATCACTTTCAGTACCATCGGTTAGAACCTCAACTTGAGGTTAAGGTGGATTATCACTTTCAGTACCATCGGTTAGCGGGCTCTGCAGGCTGTAGAGGCGAAACTCTGGCGAACCAGTCTGTCACAGCCCCTCGTTTGTTGTCCTCTTCTCCCCCTGTGCCAACGGTTTAGCGGGCAGTTTTGCTTGACGATATGCATATTTTGTTTTCGCCTCAGTATGAGGCTGTGTTTGCCCATCCATCCCTGTATTTGTCGTCTTCTTTCGCTCTTGACAGCTGCCTTTCTTTTCTTCATTTTATGAACTTCCACGTTTTTGGTTTTGCACCCACTTAACCCACCAGTACGTTTCCCAGCCATTTTTCACCAACGCAGTGTGCATGCGGCCACAACTTTTGGGGGTCGGCCGACCAGAAAAATCGATTGAAATTTGATCCGGCTTCAGCTGTGTATTATTCCAGCCATCCTGATTTACATCGTAAATTAACACATTATGGTTTTGAGGGTCTGGTGGTTTAAGGTTCGAAATGTCTGTGAATTTTGAAACCTACCCTTGTCTTCATTCCTATCAAAAGTTGGTCCCTCCCCCCCGCCCCTCTCGTTTTTCAAAACATATGTGGCCATCGTTGAATCCCAGCCAGAAAATATCCACCTGCCCGACCTTCCCCGAAGTAACGGCAGATGAGAACCTAGCCCCTAACAAAGACCCCAGTCACCCCGCAAGCCCCCCAGCATCTGTGAAGCAGTCACGCTTGTTCTGCTTGCAGGAAATCACTAAGGATTTCTCCCATTTGATGGCCTTCAAGTTGACAATCCATATGTAAGATTAGAAAAACAAATAAATAAATAAAAATCGACATGATTGGAGAGCAATTGTGTCATAGGCATTTGTCATATTGTGATCTTTCTGACAAAAGTATTGCTTCCAATTATCTGTCTGATTCCATAGAATGATCTAGAATTATCATCCGATTATGTCAATTTAACTCAATTCTTTGTCTTGAAAATAGACAATTTGAATGGTTGTACCCGCCAACCACTGTGATGTTCCTTCGTAAACCACGCATGCCAAAGATCACATTTCGCCGTCCAGCCACTGATTGCGCCTCGCTCCAGTACTCACCAAATGTGCAATCTTCCACTAGGACATGGAAAGATACACCACCATATTTTGTGTCTTTTCTGCATGTGGTGAGTAGTGGACCGAGTCCCATTGAGTGGTTTTACCCACCAACCGAGTGGTTACGCCCTTAAACCACCAGTACCTACCGGTTGTTGTGGCCATTAATGCGGTAGCCGAATCCGTCTGCCCCTCAGGTCTATATTCGTTTGACCCTGGGGGGTACGAAAAAATGCGGTAGGTACGTGTGGTTAATGTCGAATGGTCATACCCGCCAAGCAACTCCACAACACAATCTTCCTGAAAGCAATACAAGCTCCCTGTGTTGAGATCCCAACTGCGGGTTGCTGTTCATGATGTCACACAGTCACAATCTTGATTCCACCCAGTCACACAGTCTTGTCAAAATAGGACCAGGTGGAGTGGTGGTCTCAGTTGTTGAGTTCTGTCCGAGCTTGGTGACCAGACGAATTCTTTTCTTTAGATCACCAAGCTCGGATGGCTGCAATCAAATCTTCAGGTCTAAGTGAGTCGGTTGATCTGGTGGATCTCAAAAGATTCTCAATCGCCAGAAAACTTGATGCCTTCCACTGATCTGACAGAACCTGCAGAGTATGGACAGCATATGCATGTAACTCAGGCATGGGAACGACCAGAATTTGGAACGAGAGAGTCTCACTCGACAGACTCTGAAAACAGGTCTGGGTATCCGAAGAGTCACGACAGAGGAATGGCCTGCCGCCAGGCAGTTGCGCATATGAGCCATTTATGTCTTGACCTGTTTGTTTGAGCAAAAAAAAAGCCTTCAGCAGAATGCAATCTTGAGACCTTGGCAGTTTTGTGTAGGCTCAGAACCCAGAGGTCGGGGTATTCAGAGAGTCGGCAGCAAGGCCCCGCTTTCCCTCAATTCCACATTTCTCGCCGCCCATCCCTGTCACAGTGGCTCCCAAATCAAAAGGATTTGCACAAGCGGGATCCCATCCCGGAGCTACAGCAGGGTCTGGGAAGCAGCAGCTCATATTCATAAGCTTCCGTTGCTTGCGCATATGCCTCTATGTTGTGCTTTTTGTTTTCCTTCTCTTTTTTTTTTCTTTTTTTCTTTTTTGAATTCTCTGCCTCCTTCTCGTGTGTGCAAAGCCTTGGTGAGAGAATGCACCTAGGGTACATTAGAGTTTCAGTCTGCAGACTTTTGTTTTAATGCTCTGCCTCCTTCTCATGTGTGCAAAGCATGGTGAGAGAATGCACCTCGGGTACAAACGAGCTCAGTCCCGTACCGGACGTTCTATTCGGGTGAAGACGATAGCGGCTGAGGTAGAACAGGTTGGCGATAAAGAGAAGGATAGATATGGCTGGAGGGCAATTCCCATGTATGGACGACACATGTTTGACATGTCCAAACACCAATTTAAAAAAAGAAAAAAGAAAAAAACATTGTTGTCGCCAAATCAAAAAGTTCCCTAAACACAACTCCAGAAAAGTTTTTTTTTTTTTTTGCCAAATCAATATACTGAAAGTTCCCCAAAACACAACTCCAGAAAAGAAGATAACACAGGGAGACAGTTTCGATGAGAAACACTGCTGCAACAAGAAAGTGTGTTTCATCAGACTTTCACGTGACCATCATATACAGCGTTTCAACGGGAGCAACAACACAAGCAGACCAACTGGAAGGTATACATGTTGCTGTATGGGACCAACTCAGAGCCGACTTGCAAGATGAGCGGTAAACCTGAAGGCAGAGTCATGTTCTTTATATGTATAGCTTTAACTAGAGCAAGAAGATCAGGAGGCCAAACTGAAAGCAAGAGGCCAAGATCAAATTGTGTGGCTAGCATAAGCTCTCAGGTTAAAGCATCCATAGAAAGTGAACCAGCAGCCACATATACCGGATTGGAAGCATCTGCCTCACGCAAGCCAGCCTGTCAGTTCCTTCTTGGAACCAACACACATGAAATATATATCATTCATGAGTGAAATGCTCATGGCCCCACCACTTAGGAAGGGAGGGCATTATTTCTAGACACCTTGTATTGAAGCAGAGCTAGGGAGAAAACTTTCGGAGCTTGTTTCCGAAGGGAGGAAACATGAAAAGTGTTCTCACCATGGTTTAAACCCTAAACCAATGATCCCACTCCTCTGGTTTACTCCCTACCAATGTGTGTGTGTGTGTGTGTGTGTGTGTGTGTGTGTGTGTGTGTGTGGCGATATTCACTATGCACAACTCCAGAAAGAAAAGCACAACGGTGAAAGACTGTTTCGTCGAAGTTACACCGACTCATCAATGTGTGCGCGTGCGTGTGTGTCCAGCTGCCCACCTGAAAGTCTCGATCTTGGAGCTTATCTATCATTATTCTTGACAGAGGGAGCAGGGAATGTGTATTCCCTCCTCTTAACCTTCATGCCATGTGTTTTGCCGCCCTTCCATGACAATCCAAAACCTTGAGTCCGAACCCACCTATTTGACAATGCACAACGTGAGTTTGAGCCAGAGATCAATCGAGGATCCATAAACGGAGATGATCAATCGGGAATCCATAACCGGACATGATCAATCGAGAATCCATAAACAGAGATGATCAGTCAAGAATCCACAAAAAAGAGATAAATAACCAAGGATCCATAACCTGAGTTCGAACCAGAGATCAGTCGAGGATCCCTAAGCAGATCAATCAGGGATCCATAACCTGAGATTGAACCAAAGATCAATCTAGGATCCATAACCTGAGTTCGAACCCGAGATGATCAATCCAGGATGCATAACACAGAGTTTGAACCAGACATTATTCGAGGATCCATTACCTGAGATGATTCAATTCAGTTGACAATCCATTGACCAAAGAGATCATACAATAATGAAAACTTGTGCCTTCCTCGAGGAGGAAGAACCTGGTACTTATACCAGCAACGAATGCTGTACCCTCCAGAGAGCTATCCACAGCCCAAAGAGTTCAACCTCAGCTGTGCGAGTTCAAACTCAAGATGTGTGTAGTTCACTTTTTGCTGCTGCTACCTATTTTGCGGCAAGTGTCTACTTCCGCCGGGTAAGACAACATAATGGTGATCATGAAGGGCCGCCTCCACATTTACCGCACACCTGGTTCTCTTTCCATCGACTTCAAGAGTTTCACTTCCCAATCTCACCACTAGGTAAAAACTCCTTTCATGATGATGATGCCAACGTCCATTGGTTGAAGAGCATGGATGCCACAACAATGGCTGAGTGTTTTTTTTTGTTTCTGCATGCATGCATGCATGTCACTCCACCTATTCATCCAGTTCCCAAAACTCAGCCATCCAGCCATCCATCCCTGTAAAGCAACTACACAGTGTTGCAGTGTACACCCCACTGCATGCTTGTTACGGCTCCTCCCTTTCTACCTTACCAAAACTCTCCTGTTCTAAATAATGAACAGTGAACAAAAAACAGAAAAAAAGGAAAAGGGCAAAAAAAACACGAAAAACAGAACAGGGTTCAGTCACGCCAGCCCTCCTCTCACCCAAACAGACGTTTTTCACTTTTCCTCTAAAACAAACAAAAAAAAAGCTCCATTTCTCCCACATGCGTGAAGGAGCAATAATCCCCCACCCCAACCTACAGTTTAAGTGGGGTTTACTAACTTCCTAGCCACTGTGAATCTGTTCACACAATGAATACAAGAAAGACAGAATCGACACAACAATAACAATAACAACAACAAGAAGTTCGTTCAACTTTTGTTGCAATAACCACCAACCAGGGGCTGAAGGAACAGAGCTGGTTTGATTTTTTTTCAAACAGACTCCTCCGGCCTTGGCTGTTCTTTACACTGCTGCACATTCCTCCTACTAGGATGTTCCTTGGCCCACGCAACTGCACCCTTGCAAATCATTCTTGTGTAGAGGACCACTGTGACCAGCATCACCATCAGCACTCCCAGGTTCTTTACTATCATCCGTTTGCCCACATCCGGGTGCTGCAACCGGCGAAGCAGCCCCTTGTTTGCGCTCATTACGCATTCTTCAATGTCCCCCGCCCTAGTTGACGAGCTACCTACATCCAGAACAAGGTGTTGACCGGCACCCGTACCGATTTGCTGTAAGAGGCCTAGATCTCCAAGTGCTTCCTGGTCCTTTCCCTGCGTAGACCGATTTGGACTGACTTGCCCTCCCCCTCCTCCATCCCGGTTCACTGGACGAAGCTCGTCCGTACCATCTGCACGCTGGAATGCTGAGGTTGACGCCGATCCACTCTCCCAGGCCACAGCTTGTATTTTTGCCACATCAGGCAGCAAATCATTTCCCTCACGTCCAGCAGATTGCGTTGCCATCAACTCCAGCATGGGTTCGTTCCTCGGAAGTGCCTGGCACAGCTGGCCCAGTAGAAGCCCCCTTCCAACTGAGACTCCGGGTGGACCAAGCACAATTCCCTGCTTTTGCACCGCCTCTGGCTCTGTCGCCGGAAACTCCATTTGCTGACAGGCGTGTGCACTAGCCATTTGTGCAGCAGCGCTCCGATTGGCCGCCAAACTTCCTGCTTTATCACCCCTGCTGGAGCCTTCGCCATTGCTATAATTCCGCAATAGAGTTGCACCAGAGACTGAGGCCGAGTACTCCTGCAGGTGACGGCTTACAAGCTGTCTGAACAGGTTCTCAGTGTATTCGCGACACATCGCTACGTAGACTTCCCTCTCCCACGCTGTCCTTCTGGTACAACATGCACCTGGTCTAGTATTCCTCTCAGGATCCATTACTTGCGGATATGATACACAGGGTTTCTCCACAGGATTACCACAGTCATCACCATGCCTTTCAAACCCAGCCTCTGCCTCAGCAACCAACGTTCCTCGAGGAAAAAAATTGTCCGTCTCCGGTTCACCTGAAACACCGAAACAGGCTACCGCAGGTGGCACGCCTAGACGTTCACGGTATCCCAAATTCTCCACCGCCGAAACAGTACCTGTCGCCGCAGTCTCAGTTTGCCCACTACACGGCGTCGAAGACCAATGTGGTATCGACAATTGGGATTGGCCCGGCTGTGCTGTCGCTATCGAAGACCAATATGGCAGCGATGATTGAGCTGATTCAAGCAACTGTGCTGTCGCTACACAGCTTTGAGGGCGGTTATCGTCTTCATCGATCGGTAAATTGCTCCACACCTCATTGCTATCTGCAACCGGCACCGGAATCAAGGTCTGGCTAGTCATTTGTGTCAGGCTTACTACAGGGACTGACCCCTCCAGAAGAGCTGCACTCCGAGATGACATGGCCGAAAGTGACAATGGCACCGAATAGCGGGGTTGAGCGACACTCGGGTGTGAGGCTAATAATAGCCCAGATGACGCTTCCCTTGCCAAAGTCGGTCTACGATTGCCAGCTCCAGTCACACTCTCTTCCACCACTACTCGGCTTTCAGTTAAAGACGCATCATTGCATTCAATTAACGACAAGCATGACGAACCAAAAAGTGGTGCACTTTGAATTGGTGACGAACCGGCAAGAGGGAGGACATCTTTTTTTCGTGAGAAGTTGGCCGGCTCCAAGCTTCTTGCGTGATGGCCTTGGCCTTCGACCTCTCCTCCTGAAGCATGAAAATCCAGCCTTCTGATGGTATCACCACAGTTGGGCATTGAGTGTGGCTCCCTCCCAGCGAGTTCAGCCGGATTTTCTACCACTTGACATCCATCGCAGGGCAGCGAAAACACAGGCAAAGATTCTCCTCCTGCTACCTGGCTTGGATCGCCCACTAGAGAAATGGCATCAAAAGAACGCGGTGAACAGATGCTGGAGATCGTCACTGGAGAGGGACAGGGAGTTGACACTGTTCTTGTCGCATTTTCTTCCACCACCAAGTCCTGCAATCCTCCAATAGTAGTACATTCTTGAAAATTGGGCAAAGCCCCGCTTGGGGAGTCACATTCACTGCGGTGACCTCCCTCCCAATCACTTTCCAAACAAGGCACATCGGTTGGCTGTTCGCCATCCGCGCCTGCCATGCTTCGCTCCACAGCACTCAGTTTCTCTGGAAGAGCTTGTTCCGCTCTCTCAGGAAGATTGCTGCGATGGCCAAGTTCTATTGAAGCGCTCTCAACGCTTGTTTTCTCACTGGAACCCAACACCTGTCCTTGGTAGACAACTCCCTCCTTTTCAGCTCCTTTTACGCCTCCCTCTGTGCCATCATCTGTCTCTTCCACCACATCCATGAGCGCTTCCAATCTTAGCATGTTCTTCAATGAACAATCTACCTCTTTCATCCCATCATCACCTGTGTCCATACACAGCCTTTCATCCACAGCCTCAGACGGATCTCCGACTGTGCTCTTGATGGCAGAGCCGCGCCTTATCAGTTGAAGTACCCCCTGGACATCGTCGTCAACTACGCCATCCTCTCGCTTCCCAATTCGGTCCTCCAATCCTGTCTTTCCTGCAACTTGGCACTGAAAATCGTCATCGGCGATCATAAGCCCGTCCAGATGATCCAAAGATTTTCCACCCTTGCAACGAGGATGACCACCAATGCCATGTTCTAGTACCAAATCGCTCGTCTCGCCCCTGCCCTTCATGCCTGTCTGATTGACAGAGTAATCACACATGCCAAGTTTGCCACCATCTTCTGCACCTTCCATGCATAGATCATCAATGCCTCTGCTGCTATCTTCCTCCTGCAGAGCGGTTATGCCCAGGGCATTGAAAATGGCACGCTCTCCGCACACAGCAGCACTACTAGCAGCTGTGCATGCACAGAACCCATCAACCTTGGCATCATCATCACCTTTGCTTCCCTCCATGCACTGATCATCTTGGGACCTTCCATCATCCGGGCACCCAGCCACATCCAAACCGCAAACATCTTCCTCGGTGACCATCATCATATCATGGGAACTTCTTTCCGCGCAGATCTCACCATCCTTCCAAGTACCCTTCCCCTCATCGTCTTCGACGACACCAACCCTCTCTCCGAGACTTTTATCTCCTCCGTCCATGCATGGACCGCTTGTGCACCTGCCACGATCTGGAAAACCGCAACCAACTGTATAACTGGTACTACTTTCACCACAGCTATCACCCACGTTCACAATACTCTTTCCCCCATCTTCTTCGACAACAGACGCCACCTCCCTGCGGTATCCTCCATCTCCATCCGCGCATGGGTGACCTGCACACCTGGCATCTCCATCCTCACTCACATCACCCAAAGCACAAACAGAATAGTTACCACCAGCTATATTGCTGTCAGCCGGACCCTCGCGGAGCTGGTTTGTCCCCTCAGTGCCTCCACTGCCTCCGACGGAGCCATGATTAAGGGCTGTTTGTGGATCGACTGCCTGAGGCACAGTCATTCGATCAAGACTACAATCATCACCAGGCCCTTCATCCGGTGCTGATGGAGTCGGAGTCCAGCCATTGTCCAGCTCTCCAAGAAACATGTCATCCCTGCTGCCAAGTTCAGAAAGTGTGTTACTTCCCTCACACGAAGTCCCCTGACCTTGCTCCTCTATCCCGGCGCCGTCATCAGACGTCCTTTCCTGTTCAACCCCAGTGCCATCCTCAGAGGGTGTTCTGCGGCAACCAGCTCTGTCCAAGGTCTCAGAAGCTACCAGATAATCGCCGCTCCATTCGGTTGCTGCTCCCTTCCATAAGCTACCATGTGACTCGTGATCTTCAACATCCTTTACCGATGAGAAGCTCTCGTTCAGACACTTGCCTCTCCATTCAATTGCCGCTCCTTTCGGTAGGCTACGTGACTCGTGCTCCTCGACTTCCTTTACGGATGTGAAGCCCTCCTTCCTCAAACTTGTAGGATCGAGAAGTTCCTCCTCTTTGACAAGCTGAGCCGTGCTGGACGTGCTGCTTTCCATCGTAAACGAACTCTCTATCGATATCACCGATGACCTAGAAACAGGTGTGTTTGTCCCACTGTCGGTCATGGAAAACCTATCGAAGCTCTTCACAGAGCTCGGCTGCGGTTCGACAACCAGGTCAGCATTCAATCGCACAGGCATCAAAATGTTTTCCACTGGCCCGTGCATTCGACTTTCTCCAGCGGCATGACTCGCAGCCCACGCCGGCCGACTAGCAGAAGGCACCAATGAGCTGCTTGCAGACTTCACCGCATCCAAAATGTTGCTCGTCACACCGACCGTGTTGTGCAGAACTAGCACCTTCCTTCCGCTGTCTCCCGGCTCAGCTTGCATCAAGCTCCCAACTACTCCCCCACTTTTCTTCTCAGCGAGTAGCAATCCTAAGCCAGATGAGAGAGGGGAGACATCACGGCCGCTCTTGGCTGCTTCCAACGACTTTGGCGCTGAAGACAGAACCGAACGTGGCTTACGTGGAACTTCCGACGTGGTACTTCTCCGCTGTGTCCGATCCTTCGCCACCTTGACAGGCTCGGAATCTTGCCCTGAAGCTGGTGTCTGAAACCAGTCCCACACCTGCAACCACAAGCACAAACCAGTCCACCACAAAAGGTTATCTATCAGAATCACAGTCGGGGGGGAAAAGGCACCGAAGTGCCGCTGCACCCTTGCACGGTACCCACTTCCACAGCAGCCACCAACCAACTAAGGGCGGACTCACACGAGCACTATCTTCAATGTATCTGACCGCATCTATGGCAGGACCTGCCTTCATCTGGCCGCAATTCCCTCCAGATATAAACAAAAAAATGCTAGCGTGAGTACGCCCTAAGAACCACTGAGCGCACAAGACTCGCATCTCCCCCCCAACCAGTTATTATACCCTGGTTAGGCCCTGATTCCGACTAAAAATGCTCGTATATGGTTATTACGCCCTAAGAGCCTCACAGCCAGACACACCATGGACAAGGCAGCGAGCAGCAGCTGAGAAAAATGGTACCCGGTATAGCTGAAGCTTGTAGCAGCGCGCTGGTATACCCCTGACCTGTTGAAATAAAAAGACCTGAGTTCGAATCCAGATGATGGAACCAGATGAACAAAATCACCTACAGTAATTCTGAATAACCTGGGGTCGGTCACTTGGACAACGAGAAGCGACAACGATATCTCAAGGCCGTTGGGGTCGGTCAGTTCGACAAGGCCTTCAGCCATTTCTTTTAGGAAAGAATAAAAGAAACTTGAACCCCGTTATGACTTCACCAAGTTTCCAAGCCAGCGCACACAGCACATTTCACACCTGGGACTTTTGCAACTGATCTCTAGACGGAATCGCACCCAGAGACATGCACAACCGGTCGTAATTGCGTTCAGATTCATCCAGGAAATTCCTGTGCGAGTAAAGCCTCCTTCAACGACTCGCCTCCATTCGCCTAAAAGGTGTGCACTTTTTCGTTTTGCTTTTTTTTTTATACAAGCAAGGTGTGTTTTTTTTCAGCATCCACTGCTGCAGCAAGTTTTTCCTGTCCGAAGAAATCCTTGACGCAGCACATTGCTCGCCAGCTATTTCCGAATTCAACATCAAAAAGAGCGAAAAAAAAAGAAAAGAGAAGAAAAAAGGAACAAAAATCTCGCCCAGGTATGGAAAGGGAATTAGTCGGGATCTGTACCATGCCAATGCCGGCGAGATACCAGAAAAGCCCTTGGCGTCTTATCCATGATCTTCTCCACATGCTGCGCGAGCTGGTAGACGAGCGGTCCATTTTCGTGTAGCGTACCGACAAAGGAGTTCCCCGGCTCCAAGCAGTTATCGAGTGTGAAACCAAGGGGCAGCGCTATGTCACGGGCGAGCTAAATCTGCAGAAATGAAACAAAGGCAAAACCGGCCAGACCAAACGGAAGCAGACATCAACAACTGCTTCTGGGAAACGAAACAAGGGCAAACCCGGCCAGAACTGGGAGCCGAACTGGGAGCAGAACTGGGAAACGAGCTGCCCCATGTCACGGGCGAGCTAAATCTGCAGAAATGAAACAAAGGCAAAACCGGCCAGACCAAACGGAAGCAGACATCAACAACTGCTTCTGAACAAGGGCAAACCCGGCCAGAACTGGGAGCCGAACTGGGAGCAGAACTGGGAAACGAAACAAGGGCAAAACCAGCCAGAACTGGGAAACGAAACGGACATCAACAATGTTAAACCACAGGCTCGTGAAAAACTGGGAGCCGTCATACTTGCCTTCACAATTGCCAACACCAGCCAAACCAACTGCAAATGGACATCAGAAACAATAAACGAACACTAGCTTCTGAAAATTTGTGAGTGCCACTGCGCTCAGAGAGAGAGACAGACAGAGAAAGAGAGAGAGGGAGGGAGGGCGAGAGAGAGACAGAGAAAGAGAGAGAGAGGGGGGGGAAGAGAGTGAGAGAGGAGATGTGAAAAGGAAAACTATGGTCGGCAATCGGTTTGTCAATCCAATTGACCAACCGAATAAGGGTTTAGATTGCAATTACCACAGAGATCATACACTAGGACTTTGTCAACTCAGCTCTGGACATAATCGTGGTCAGATACATCCAGAGTCGAACGTACCTGCAATCAGATACATCTAGTCTAATATAGGAATCACACCTGGTCCTAGTCTGATATAGAAAGCACACTAGGACAACAGGATTCGAGCTTCCGACATGTGGACCAACATTTCCTGGCCGTGTTCTATTAGCCTTTCAAGAAAGAAACGAACAATATATACCTTTCAACATCTACTGGCCTCTGTTAAATTGAATATACACCCTTCAAAAAAAAAAAAACGAACAAAAAAGCAAGATTAATCTATGTTTTTTATTGAATGTAATATATATTATATATACCATTAGGGTTCAGCCTCCTGACGAGTCAGTGAAACTCCGACGAAACAGTTCGTCACAGCCCCTGGTTTCTTGTCCTCTTCCTCCCTCTCTGCCTCTACGGTTTACCGTAGGCAGCTCTGTTTGACGATATACACGATTAATAACAACCAGGCTAGTAGTACATTCAGGCATGGCTAATTTCCTTCCCCCCCCACTCTTCCTCCGCCCTTTCAATTTCATTCCTTGTTTTTGCCTCTTCACTTATTAAAAAGAAACAACTAGGCCATTGGGTGGATATAAATGGTTTTGTTTTTCTATTACGAAGGGGGTAGGTAGCAATCCCCTTCATTTTCGTATCCATCCGATCTGATTCCATGAGAGATTTGAGCTCGTGATCACCTGTTTGTTAGTTCACAACAATTCCATACGTGGGTGCCATTCAACAGATATCTGATTCCATCATGTCTTTGTTAAACCCAAAGAGTGCATAAATGGCCAAGTACGCATATGCCCGGAAAAAAATAGATATGAACTCATGATCACCTGCAACTTGGTCAACAACAACTGCATGCGAGATTTGAGCTCATGATCACCTGTTTGTTAGTTAACAGCAATTGCATATGTGGGTACCGTTCAACCAATATCTGATTCCATCATGCCTTGTTAAACCCAAAGAGCGCAACTGGTTAAAAGTATAAATTATTCCGCGAGTGACGAGTTAACCCCGCCGGCATACCCATATGCCGAGGGGGAGGGGGGGGAAGAATTGAAAAAGAGAAAATCCGATTCCATCTGATTGATAATAATGCATCGAAGATTCATCGTAAATTCCATCGAAGATTCGAACTGAAAGAAAAAAAAAAAAAAAAAGAAGAAGAAGGATTCGAAGTCATGGGCACCACGTTGGATCGAGATTATAACATCCATCCCCAAGCACAACGCACCTTGATTCAGACCAAATTCAGTCATGATGGGGGTGGGCGGGCTTCGTTGTGATCGAGGGAAGAAGGTCACATGGCTACTCTGGTGAATTTCTAAGACGTTTATCGGAAAAGAAACCAGCGGCATCAGTTGTCGGGCAGTTGCTGATGCTGAATCACAACCGCGGTTAAGGTGGATTATCACTCTCAGTAACCGCGTTTAAGGTGGATTATCACTCTCAGTAACCGCGTTTAAGGTGGATTATCATTCTCAGAATCATCGGTTGCAGACTGCTGGGAGGGTTCACTTTACTGATGAGTCAGTCGCTGAAAACAGGTTTTTTTCTGTGTACATTTTCGTTTCTGCCTTGGGCACTGGGCCCGTAAAAAAAAGGCACAGTTCAGGGGGAAAAAAAAAAAGAAACTCCGACGAAACAGTCTGTCACAGCCCCTCGATTGTTGTCCTCTTCTCCCTCTATGCCTACGGTTTACCGAAGGGCAGTTCTGTTTGAAGATATAGATACATAGTCAAACAGACCTGCCCGGTAAACCGTAGGCAGAGAGGGAGAAGAGGACAATATATATATAAGGCCTCGCTTCGCAAGTTCACCACATGCACAAAAGACAAAAAATATATGGCGGTGAATCTTTCTATGCTATAGCGGAAGATTCATTCTCATTTTCACATTTTGTGAGTAGCGAAGCGAGGGCCCTTTCCGCCTACTCTTCTGCCTTCCACGTGTGCGACTCGCTTGCCACCAAGAACTCCAAGGAAATCCATTTCCGAATTAAAAAAAAACGAAAAAAACGAGACAGGCACAACTTGAAATCTGCGTGTCAAGTTCCCTCCAGGAAGAACCAAGCCAAAAGCTGCTTTAGCCTTTTCATTCACTCATTTCTATTTGCTTATTTATTTATTAAATAATATTTTTAATATCATTATTATTATTTATTATTTATTCATTTGTTTGTTTTGTTTGGTTATCCGTCTCTATCTCTATCCGCCGATCTTATCGATCTGTCTCTCTATCTCTCTATCTATCCACCTATCTATCTGTCTCTCTATCTCTCTATCTGCCTATCTACCTATCTGCCTATCTATCTATCTATCTACCTATCTGCCTGTCTATACATCTATATATCGTCACATGAATATCAGAGCGCAAAGGCGAAAAAAACAAAGAGAACAAGAAAAAAATAATTCATTTTTTTATATTCTTTCTTACAACTCCCCCTGTTCAGAACCTCTTGCGTACAAGGCCGCCCACGTGGATGTAGGTTGAACGGCGGCCACCCCCACCCCCGTGTGTCATATCGACCCGCTTGTACACAGCCAAAGGGCAAAGAGGCAAAGAAAAGAGGAAGAGAACAGCCAAATACAACAAAACAGGGGGCGACAAGCAAAAGCACCAAAAACGGATCGTAGATGACAAGTCCCACATGCAAGCACCGCCCCTCCTTCACAGGCCAAACGACGGGACAAGACCACCCAGGACAAAACTCTTGTCTGCAAAAAAAAGGAATTCCAGATACATATCTATATACAGCAGATGGCCTTATTCGTCATCAAGACGCTGGTGCTCCCATTTGTAAAGATCTATACATCTTATCCGTCTCTCTTTATACGCCTAGATTATCCGTCTCTTTCCTTATCCGCCTACCCTGTCCGTCTATCCACCTCTTCACCTATCTATCAACCTGTCGATTTATCTGTCTATCAATCTCTATCAATCAATCTCTTTCAATCTCTATCAATCTCTATCTATTTATCTATCTATCTATCTATCTATCTATCTATCTATCTATCTATCAACCTGTCCATCTATATATCTATCAACGTGTCGATCTATCTATCTGTATGTCTATCTATCTATCTACCTATCTATCTACCTACCTATCTATACATCTATCTATACATCTGTCAATCTATCTATCAATCTATCTATCTATCTATCTATCTATCTATCTATCTATCTATCTATTTATCTGTCCAATTATTCATTTATCTATTATCTACCTAACGAGCAATCTATCTTATCCGTCGATCTACCAACCCCTGTGCTATTCTCTTTCCCTCCGTCCTTCTCGCCGTGGCTCCTCCTCTCATCGTCATGTCCAGTTCAGGTGATCGAGCGCGAGTCTCCGTGCTCGCCATCCGCGCGCGCGGACTCGCGCAGATCGCGCAAACAAATCATCTGCCGTCGCAAAGCTGTTAGCCCCAGGTCGGCCGTCGCAACGCCGAAGATACAAGTCGCTCTTTTTTTTTCCTTTTGAAGAGACACTTCACTTTTCGTTCGCGTAGGAGACAGACGCAGACAGCAAAGCTACCCTTTTCCCCCGAACACAACGCACCCTCGTAATGACTGTATCGGGCAGGATAATTCTGAACAACCTAAAACTCTCGTACCAATACTCATAATCAGGGTGCGTTCTGTTCGGGGGAAGACGGGGGCCAGCAAAGCTACCCCGTTCCCTCGAATATGACGCCTGGTCAATATTGTTGTATTTGGGGGGCACTTTAGGTCCAGATGCAGCCATAATGACCGTACGTTATAATCGGGGGAAAAAGACCGTAGCCACACAAATCGTAGAACTGAAAAGGCTAAACCACTTTATCACGAAGACACACATCCGAGACACGTGACCGCTGCTTCTGTATATGACACGTGGTCTTCTCTCACTAAGTTGCATTGATTGCTGTGCTGCTGTATTGATTGCTGTATTGATTGCTGTATTGATTGCTGTATTGATGGCTGTATTGATGGCTGCATTGATGGCTGTATTGATTGCTGCATTGATGGCTGTATTGATTGCTGCATTGATTGCTGCATTGATTGCTGCATTGATTGCTGTATTGATTGCTATGATCGTCCTTTTCCATCGACATGCATCGACAGAGAGTGAGGGAGAAGGAGAGAGAGTGGGAGACAGAGAGGGAGAGGGAGACAGAGAGGGAGAGGGAGAGGGGGAGAGAGAGAGGGAGAGAGGACGAGAGAGAGAGAGAGTGGAGATTGAGAGGTCTCAGCTCAGCCATTGCACACAAATGGGCAGAGGAAAAAAGCTAAATGAAGGGGGGGGACCGACATGATAACTTCTCCATGTCATCCATAGTAAAGACAAGAGCCAGCAAACTCGTTAAAAATTAGGGGGGCAAAAAAAAAAAACAGACAGGCATGCAATACTGACGCGTGCTGCTGGTCGGCAATCCGTCAACAGACAGGACTAAGAAATGGGATGCCCTGGCTCTATCCATGAGACCCACCCCATTTTCCTTTGTTCGTTTTTCTTTTTCTTTCTTAGCCCCCATTTTGTAAACAAACTTACCTGATTGGCGAAGTGACAAAGAGAAAGCCCGCCGCCTCCTCGTTAACGCGCATTCGTTTGAAATAAAAAGTCTGCCTCCCTCCGTTGATTACTTCCCCGGACGGACGAATGCGATTGTGAATCATCAAACTCTTGATATCTTTATGATGTTGAGCAAATGTCCTCCCGTCAAGAGAGATCACAGAGAATAATCAACGAAGAGAAAAAAAATCCTTACGTCGACGAGAGGATTACACACATAGAAGAAGGCTGGGAGAGAGAGAGGAGGGAGACAGGGAGAAGGGGAAAATAGAGTGAGAAGGGGGAGAGAGAGAGAGAGAGAAATGGTCACGCTACCCTCGTCTAGCAGCAGGCTAACGACGCCTCTTCGTCCCCAGACACTCGATCCAGATCGCGATCACTACCGCTTCTTTTCCAACCAGGTCCGCCAAAGACGACTGATTCCCGCCAGTTATTAATCCCTTTCCTCCTCCTCCTCCTCTTCCTCCTATTTCCAGCGAAAGACGAGTTATCCGTTAGACGAACATCGAAACGGTGGTGCTGGGCAGATAAGTGGTCGCAATGCCGGGCAAAGCCTGATCTCCGTCATCAGATCCCGCCAATTATCAATTCACGTCCTCCTCTTCCTCCTATTTCCAGCGAAAGACGAGTTATCCGTTAGACGAACATCGAAACGGTGGTGCTGGGCAGATAAGTGGTCGCAATGCCGGGCAAAGCCTGATCTCCGTCATCAGATCCCGCCAATTATCAATTCACGTCCTCCTCTTCCTCCTATTTTCCCGCCAAACACGATTGAGTTCCGCCAATGATCAATTCCCTTCCTCCTCTTATTCCTATTTCCCGACAAAGTCGATATCTCCGTTAGCGGACATTGAGACGATGGTGGGGAGAAAAGTGGTCTACACTTCAGGTCCCGCCAATTATGAATCCCCTACTTCCTCCTCTTCCTCCTACTACTTCCCGCCAAAGACGATTTATCCGTTAGATAGACATTGAAACGGTGGTGGGGAGATAAGTGGTCGCAATGCCGGGCAAAGTCTGGTCACCGTCAGAGTACACGTCAGATCCCGCGGGCGACATCCAGCCGTAAGACCACGAAGACAGACGGCTGTGCTGCCATGAGAGACTCCCGCCAAATCCATTTTCCTACCCTGTTTCCTCTGCTGCGCGCCAAAACGCATTTCCGCCATCGCAGGACGAAGATAATGAAACCTTCCACACCCCTTCTCGTCGCCTTTTCCGCGCGGCCAGGGTCACGGGGCCGGCGGAGCACAGGCTTCTCTCTCTCTCTCTCTCTCTCTCTCTCTCTCTCTCTCTCTCTCTCTCTCTCTCTTTGAAGTTCGTTCAACTTCTGGATGACGTATGGTTGTCCGATGGCTCAACAACCTCCTCTCTGCCCTCCCTTCTATCACCCACTCTTGCTTTCCTCCCTTCCTTTCTCTCCCCCTCCTCTCCCTCCCTCTTCCCCCTCTCTCCCTTCCTGCTCTGCCTTCTCTTGATCTTTGAAACGCAAAGTTTGTTCCGCCTATCGATGGCTTTCGTAGGCGGGAAGGCAACGGCAAACGCCCCCTTCTCCTCCTGCTCCTCTTTCTCTCGCCCCACGCAAAGTGGCGCACAACTTTCAGCGCTGAGCAGATTCGTCACCCCCCCGCGTCCGCGGATATGCGGCCTCTGCCCGCCTGGTTCCACCCCAGCGCGCCCACCCTGGTTCTGGTCGTGGTCGCGACAGGAATATGAAGAACCTCCAGCTGCTGCTGCGCCCACCGCTGGGCCGCGGAAAACGACAACGGCGGTAGTTCTCGGCGCTATTACTCGTCGACCTCATGGACAAGAGATTCGTTCGAGCCGTCGGCGGGTCCAAAACATTCGCGCGCGCTCCGAAGCAACGTAGGCGGGGCAAATCAAAACCACCGCGCTCCCGTCAGACAGTTTTCCCCGCTGCGCTCCCATCAGTAAGTTTTCCCCGCCATGCTCAACAGGCGCCCCCCGCCACCGCGCACTGTCCGTGATCGCGGAGAAGGGAGCGGAAGCGGCCCAGAGATCGCTCGCGGAGAAGCGCGGGGAAGGGGCAAGCGCCCTCCCTGTGGGGCCCACTCTTTCCTCTCTTTCCCACGACCAGCGGGCAGAACACCAGAACCGCCGTAGGTTTAGGCTGACCTCTCATATTCGCTCAACGTCGGCGGGCCAGGGACCTGATTTCCTGATCGTCTCTGGAACGACTTGGTCTCAACAAAAAGACCCGCTCCATATTTATTGCAAATGTGGGCCAGCGGTAGTGGCACTACTCGCCAACCGCCGACTTTTTTTTTTTTTCTTTTTTTTTTTTCTTTTTTAACAAGTAAACTCTGCTCATTCTTAGGGCCTCGTTCCACTACCCTCGACTTGAAAAAAATCTCTAGGGCAGCCCTACGGGCGCCCTTGAGTCAAAACGTAATTAAAAAGTACTAGAGGTCGTTGGCGTTCCACTACACCCTGCAGTTCCCGCTCCCAAAAGGAGCGGGAAAATGTGCACCCCTGTTTGTCATGGAATTTTCACAACCCAGGTCCATCCCTGGGCCCCGACAACCGCGATTGGCAAAAAAAAAAAAGAAAGGACCGGACGCGGGGGCTGAACTGCTGCCTGGCCACGCACATTGCCGCCTTTTCCAAGAATTTTCAAGTCACCTCCGGGAGGTGACTTGAAAATTGGCCCAAGTTGCCTGGGCGCCCTACGGCCGCCCTCGAGTCTCAGAGCGGGATTTTCTTCAGGCGGGAAGCTTAATCACTTTCCATTGTGATTAGCAGATCTCAAGGGCCTAGTGGAACGGCACCGCCCTTGAGATATTTTCAAGTCGAGGGTAGTGGAACGAGGCCCTTATTGCCACACAAAGGGAAGAGGCCGGGAATTCCTCAACAAACAACCCGGAAAGGAAAAGGAAAATTTACACTGGGACCATTACCCAGCTTAGGTGCAGGCCTTGGGACATTTTGAATACATCAGGTGGAATTTCCTGTTCATATTGATTCAGAATCTTGGCGGATGACAAATGGTGCAACTATGGTAGGCCCTGTGTCATGCCATGAAGGCCATGAATTCCGACACGCACTCCTGAACTGGGGCCTCGCCACACCATTCACGAAATGAAAAAAACTGACCGCATCTTCCTGCAGAAGATGGCAAGGTACTGATACCACGCTGGGCGTGGGGGAGCAGCCAGGACGGCGGGCGCACCACCAAGCGCAGTGCGTATAACCCTTAGGCACTGCTGCATGGTCGGTGCATGTTTGTGAGTTCGCAGCCCGTCAGGGTTGCGTTTTCCCCCCCTGAGAACATTTCGCAGCCCGTCAGGGGTGCGTTTTATGCCCCTGAGAAATTTCGTCGTCGTCACCAAACAGTGCGGTAGTTGGAAGGGTGGTGTTCGCAGCCCGTCAGGGGTGCGTTTTATGCCCCTGAGAACATTTTTCGTCGTCGCTCGTTATACGGTCTTTGGAAGGCTGGAAAAACAAGGCATGGCAGTTTAGGGGGTGGTGGCATCTTATTTGAAACAGCAGGACCGGTAGCTGCCCGTGGGACCGCACGGGTTTTGGTCCAGGACC